GGAGACTGGCTCACATAGGTTCCGATAGGCTCCCTCGCTGGGGACCCAGAGATCATGGTCACTCATGGTTAGAGACACTGAGTGACATAGCTGGGTGTCGCAAACCACCTCGTTGGTGGGGGGNGACATATGAAAGAAACGAAAGTTGCGGAAAACCGGAATTGAACTTGAAATCAGAAGTCCCGGTCATCGGCCAATTTCATAATGAGTTGGCGAATATGACATATCTGGTACAAGTTGAAAATGTAAGATGTTTTGGTGTGTGGAAGGGTCATCATGAAAGACTAATACACCTAGGACACCAACGTGTGATGCCAATAAGAGCTACGAGGAGCAGCTACGACGATAAATAGGGATACAGTGGTGCGTAGAATTGCATGAAAACAGGTTTGCTTTAGTCAGTTATTTGCAACACTGATACAGATTCGCATACTCATTGTTTCCTTATAAACACACCTACGGGAAATGATCTGTGAGTGAAAACGGAGTGTTTTCTGATCTGGAGATTAAAAGGATGAGATTAAAGTGAAATCCGTTATTTTAAATCTGCGTTTTAATTTCAAATGCAACAAGATATAGTTCAAGGATGTGTACGTTTAATCGTAAAACCCAAATCATGGTATAAGGCTTAACCATCAAAAGTCCGTTACAAATCTCCTCAGTCTAGATTTGCACTGAACGTGATCAATAGGGCAAAGGGGATTTTAAAAAAACGCATCCAAAATTGTCACACTAAAAATGTTTAACTAAATGATGGGAACTCACATTACACACAGTCGCAATCATGATGGGAGAGAAACCGACTAGATTGAATCGATCTGGCTCGGCGTAACCGGAATCCAGAATCAGATTGACTACAGGCCAGGCTCCATGGCCTACGGCATAGTGCAATGAGGTGCTTCCCTGGCGAACAGAGAAAGAAAATCAAACAGATAGAAAGAGACGCAACAGAGGGACAACGACTGTACAGCGTAGCTTGGTTGAATTCTACAAGTGGTTCCAGGTCGCTGAGAGCAAAACAACCATGAACAAGTGAGTTCATCCCACTAATAAGTGATTGCGGACCAGCATTTCCGATGCTTGGAGACATGACATGTGTTTTTCTCCCGGCTGGTACGTTCTCTATAAACTGACCGAGATCTATCAACGGTTGCTCGATGTGTGCGAGTGGGACAAAGCGCTCAATAGGACAACCACTCTGTGATCTCCACCACCATCACCAACACAGTACACGGACAACTTGGGTGTTTTTGGCTCACCACAAATAATTCGGGGACGTATGAACTGGGCATAAAACCCGAGATCAGCAATCAAAACATATCCTTCAAAAGAACATTGAGCTTGAGATTCTTCGTGTCATTTTCCTTGGAAATAACTTTTTTCTCATTTGGGAAAACGCTCCTGATCAATATTCAGGTAACAGTGGATCGAATATTGCACCCACCTCAAGTTAGTAATTTATGAAGTACCCGGTACAAAGCTATCATCCTTTTGGGTAGATCATAAACCCGGAGGCTTGTGCTGAAATACGTAAGGCGCGATGCCTGCATTAAGCTCGGGAAGATATTTTGTGATATATCGTGTACGTTCAACATGAAAAACGGTTTGATCAGCTGCCCGGTGGCTGAGTGAGTTCTATCTGTGAGGTGCCGGATTCGACCTCCAGTTGAGTCGATGAGACCCAACCAACTCGAAACAGCTGACTAGTGTTTCTCAGATCACGTCTCATTTACACGACGAATTTATCATATAAACAAATCAAATCCTCCATTCCTGTCATACAATTCTATTAAATTCAGTGTATGACCATATGGTGACAAACCACATGGTGTCAAGAGACCAAGTACGCATTCAATTCTCGACCCGAGGTCCTCCCTCATCACACACACACACATACACACACAGGATCATCGGAATTTCTAAAGTGCAAAATCAAAGGCCAAATGAAGGTCATCGGTTCGACGAGCGTAGAAAATGCGAATGCAAGTCGACGTTTGCTGGTAATCAACTTCGCTTTTCTTGTCACACACACACACTATGCTATTCTCTACACCAGATGCTAAGGTCAACCTGTCTAAATATAGATATCTCCTAGGTTGCATCTGATGGACCACCGAGTTAACTTTATCTTTGAAGTGAGCACGGACCGACGCGACTGTGAGCACAACGAACTTCGCTGATGTGAACAAGATCAATGCGTGGGCGGATCTATGCGCCGGTACTGACGCGCGCACATACACACACAGGTGCACATCATTGTTGTTACTCGTGGCTCTGTGCAGAAATTGGTATTTCCAATTGTTGCTGTTCGATTGGGCCGACTGTTGGAGTGGGGTGGGATCATGTTACCCACAGCAATATGCCTACACTCTGGTGAAGATCGTGATGAGTAAGCTTGGTAAATAATAAATAAAGCATGGGGTTAGCAGAACAAACTCATCTATCTAANTAACGGATTGAGATTGACAGGATGGTGCGAAAAGTCGGATTCTCCGTACTGGTGCTGATAATCAATTCTAACTTGCAGTTGAACGGTGTACAAACTGTCCGGCTTCGAGATGGCGTGTTAAGACTCTATGCGGATCGCTTTTCTTAGCATTCGTAATAAACGATATGCACACTTAAAGATCGCATGAGATGGTAGATACAACGGCAAGGAAAAGTGTTTTTTGGTGCTGCTATTACTAATGATTCCAGGGTTGGGTGAGAACAGTATCCAGACTGGATCTAGTACCTTCAACCCTTGTATGCATGTTCGAACTTGAGTATTACATCAGAGTTCTATGACAGCGCTAGTTAGAAACCCACATATCACCTATCTGGTCACAGACAATCACCGGATGCTAGTTATTCATGTTGTGGCAGATAACTTTTCTATCGTTCGGCTAAAGCAACGCAATGCCCATCTTGGGGGAGCATCTGATCCAAGTCCCCAAACTTAAGGTACGCAATTCCCAGTATCTAACAGTAGATTCTCGTGAACCAGAGACATAATTATCCAATTATTCTTCACGATCAGCGATGAATAAAAAAAATGCAACCGAATTCAATCCATTTGGAATGTTCCTGGTTGCTGTTTGAAAAGATGTTTTATTACGTAACCTTACGTGATGACTAGCCAATGGGTTAGAACCCCGGAGTCATGAAATCCTGTTGTTCAATCTTGGAGACCTGCAACCTGAACCACGTGACTCGAACCAACGAACCGCATTAGACCCCGTTACGTAAAGCGTAGTATTGAGCCGGACTAGAGTGAAGCTGCCTAACCTTGGAAGAAGAACCTCGTAACCAACGGAGCCTACTGAGCTGGATTCGATGAGACAGCGAGTTCTTGTCTGATGTACTCCCAAATACCCGACGACTTACTTCTAAGTTACTAACCCGCTCACTCCATCCCATTTGGGCCAGACTACGTAAGCATCGATTGTCGCACACTGCTAAACGACGGGTGTGTTCTACCCGCAAATCCAAGGTCTTACAACAGTAAAGCAGAACTGATCGTACAGGTTCAATGGATGCACAGAAATAATCTACATACTCCTGAAGCTGTAGTGGATTGAATTAAGAAAACGAAATGAGATTGGCACGTTATTTAGAAAATCATTTGCAATTAAAGTGCAATTATTGGACTATAAAAAACACCTAGGGAGTGGGATGGAAAGTGTGCATGATGATGATTGGAAGGTTTCATGTTTCACGTCAAGTTGCGCGAGTGAATCAAATGTGAAAAAACCAGCGTTTCGGTGTGTCATTCCAGCTCAGTTTATGAAGTGTGCGCAGATGGCACCCTTGCGTGAGCTCGAATCCCAGCGAGGTTGATCTTCTCACAATTCATAAACACATTAACACACTATCTTCTATCATCTGTCAACACTTAATTTGGATGAATAAACAATCATGATCGCAACAATGTGTCAGGAGTGTGTGTATGAGATGCTGCAAGTGTGTACGCAAGAGTGAACGAGCGAGCCAGTGTAATGTCTGATTTGACAATGTCATTTGCTTCTGTCTAATTGGCATCTTGCTCGCGTTGTTCTTTGGGTCACTAATCACTAATCACCTGAGTGAAGGCCCATATTATTACGCCGGTTTTGGGTTCGCTTCATACAGGGCCATAAAAGGCTTGTTGTGTTTGGAGCCGGTGCGTGTGTGTGTGTGCGACAAACGGCGAGTGTGTGGATTGTGGGTTAGTGATTGACATTAGAAACGATCGAAAATCGCGACACAATAGCAGTTGGTGAACGGAAAGAATGAAAGAATCGCGCGATGAGCGTACAGGTAACCAGAAGAACAGAAATTATTGAAATGGAATAAATTATTGCGTATGGAAATGGCATTCTCTTCCACGAGCAAGATAGGCACAAAGAGAATAAAAGGGAGTAAACCGGGAAATGGTACGAGGAGGCAACGTCGTTTATCATGCATTGCAAACCTAATCTGCAGCTCGGGCAGTGGATTCGAGACGAACACGTCCCGAAAGAATCACTGCGATGCTTCCGTATTCGGTGCTGTGGGTTAGAAGCGTCTAACCTCAGCCAACTTGACGCCAGGGCCGATTTCCAATGATTTTATAATGAATAACATATGAATGACGTCGTTTATTCCCATCTGCGCTGAAATACCCTATCTTGTCTCGGAATCAAACATGCACCGGGCAAATCATTTAAGGGGTGAAATGAACGCGCTCACACAGCGAAAATAAAGCCTAATGATTGTCAACAAAGTAACGACATGAACCTGATAGAAACCCTGAGTTATCGTTTACAAAGTTGCTGTGGGAACAAACTAATTTGAAGAGGTGATCGCTGGGGGGGGGGAGGGAGCAAAACAGTCAACATTGTATGATCGTAGCCAAACTGACAGGTAAATCCTTTTTCACTTTACCGTTGATCAATATCAACGCACTGTGCGTAGCATTATTGCTTCAGATAGTCGTAACGACGATGATAGTAATATCGCATACAGGCAAAGAGTAGGATACACAGACCACAGGAGAACAACTCACATTATCATCCACAGATTGCATCACATCACGTAACAGATGTTCGTGGTAGCCGTACAAAATGGCCACAAAATCCTCCAATTTTTCCAACTCTAGCTTTGTAGCACCGGTTAAATCGAACCAAATCGTACGGAGTTTGTCCATTTCGTTTTTCTACAGAGAAAAGTCAGAGCATCATTGTATAGGAAAGACGAACAAAAAAAATGAAGTGACGCAATCACTAATCAGTTGTGAAGGCAGTTTATCCCCTGCGTTGACTGTTGTGCTATCGTTCGGTCCCGACATTGAGTAAACTGACCATTCGAAATCGGATTGCAACACTTTTGTGAGGAGTATCCGTGGTGCACTGTTTGACCTATCAGGCCTATTTGGGGGTGGGTGGGTGGGGGGAGAGTGGTCATCTTTCAAATTGTTGAACCTTACTCTCCCCATCCATATGTGTGTGTGTGCCCGAGGAGCTGCTCCCAATGCACAGCAGCTACTGCCCAGTGAACCGCTGGGCTGTGCAAAGCTGTATTCTGTAACGGTGACAACAAGTAAGTCAGTTTTCACTATATCATTGTGATTTCTCGATGTATATGTATGTATACAGCAAATTCGGATGCATACTAACTAACCCTCAAACTCCGTCGACTGGGCAGACGACCGGCTGACCATCTGCAAGGAAGACAACCGTAGCAGGACGTAGTCACCAGTCAATTAGTGACCAGGCTCAGTATAGGTTGTGAAAAAAGAATGAATTAATGTCGCTCGCGTGGAACCCCATTAGGACCAACTAACTCTGTCGGTAGGATAGTCCGCTTTTAAACCAATGAAATACCAATCCAATCCTATTTCAGTCTTATATGATTCTTCGTTCCTGGGACCTGGGCTCTCGGTCTCGGTAAATGGACATTAGGTAGTTATCACAACGGAACTGAGCCTTTTAACTGTGCAGTAAATCTAGTTGGGCGATGATAATAATATCGTTTACTTGATATGTGAGAAAGAACCCGGGTGTCGAGGCAATCACATTTGATTAAAGTGCTCCGTTGACAAATTTGTTCGGTCTAGTGATAGCTGTGGCAGAAAAAGAAGGGGTTTGTTAGAGATAAACTTCAATATGAACCGGTTTCTCAAGTTCCGGGACATTTTTCACAGCCCTGCGATGGATATTGCCATTTCACTTAGTGTTGGATCGAAGTGCTTTCTTGGTTTGAAAAATTTCTCAAAGAATAGCATTTTTCTGAATGATATGAACTGCTGTCTTGTCATATCCCAATGAAATTTGATGAAATGTGCGATGCTAGAGACAGACAGGCAGGCGGGCAGGCAATTGTCTTTTTCCCTACTTCCTCACGGCTCTCCTCCAATCACTCACCTACGAAATCATCTGTCATACATGCACGGACTCACACACAACCACATAACCAACGATATTCATGCAGCCCACGAATCAATCGATTGAGGCGAATGTATTGATCCGATTGACAAGTAACTTGCGTTGAAAAGGTTGACTTAGTGTGTGAGCTGGTGCACACAATATCACAAGAATGATTGTCATTCAGTAAATCCAGTGAACCAATCAATATTTGGATCGTCATGCAGTTATTGAATGATATGACGTAAAGACACAGGGCAGGATAAAGTTCTTGAGTGGTGGACCAGCAAATCGAACTTCTGATATGAAAATAAAGGAAAAGCCGAATACATAGCCTTGACATGAGACCACTGTGGATAGATCAGTGGGAATGCGAGGGTTGAGAACATACCGCGGTAATCCATGACAATGTGGTTTGCTTCTTGTATTGATCCGTGAGAAGCTCACAGGCGTTCAATGCCTCCGAGGACATCACAAAACTGGCAGATAGGTAGGACGGTAGAGAGAGAGAGGCGACAAGAGGGTATTAGACAGAAACCAGATTTGTGTATATTATATCAATAATAGCGGATAAAGAGAATCTCATTGTGATTGGTTCGGACGTAAGCACGCCAAAATGGACCTTGATTGGGACCGATGTTAGTTAGATAAAGGCGAAATTCAATTAGACCAGGGTAAAAAAAGAAAGCAATTACATAATTACACTACAGAGGGCGGATAAACTACATGTGGCATTATTGGTGAATGAGGATTACACAGAAGACAATTNCCCCCCCCACCCCCCCCCCCCTGTCCGTACGCGCGGAAACATTTGAGTCGGAGGGAACAAACGAGGGAGTGGGGAACTTCACATGTGCGTAACAAGTCAGTCATGCGAACAGCACGCTGTACAGTGTGGTGAATTCGAATGTAAAACTCTGCCTATGCGATCAAAAGTCCAAACACGGCACACTTTGTGCAATTGAACTTCAGCTGCTGAACAGGGCTCACACAGGTACGAGTACACACACACACACACACACACACAGGCAGCTCAGTTCGTGTCATCCACTAAATCACACATCCCACGACAAAGTACTGCACCCACCCACTCCCTCTCACATACAAAATGATCACCATGTTTGAGAATCGTGATGCGAACCGAATGACACATCAAAATGAAGGGTCGCTCTTCTTTCTACAGAGATTACAACATTAGTAATTCCACGCGTCGAATCTATCTAGATTAGATATCTTTTCATCGCTAATGTGAACGAAATTCCACTCGATGCAGAGCACAATGAACGTTTTGCTATTGTAAAGCCACTAAGGCTGTGCGCGTTCTTACGTTCATGCATATCACCAAAGAGACCACTCTCGTTGGGTGTAAGTACGCAAGCATGGTTTTCATCTCACGGAGTTTGTGGTCCTAGGCTGCGGTACTTCTTGTCTTTCCTCGAAAGTTGATTTAAGCATCCAATCTGTTTTATGACTGATTTTTTGGTTGATTCCGCACTAACTATCGTGCACATGTGAATGCGGATCTGGATTACACTGATCTCAAGAAAGCTGTTAGGATATTCCCATGATAGCATTGAGAAAACGAGCCGGTGAGCGAACAACTGTTTTCGGATATTCCTAGTCATGCTCTTACATATCATGTAGTGAAAAACATTCTTACGTAATGATAGCCATTGGCTCAGTTTAAGGTCATTAATCGGAGGCAGAGAGTAATGGAGATGTATGCGTGTAGGAACGTTTAGCATGTTAGTTGATGTGACCTTTCCCCACTTGGGTCAATTGACACGTCATGTTCTCTCTTGGTTTTCACACCCAGCGTCGTATTTTGGGCACACAGGTTAGGGCCTAGTTAGCGACTGACCATGGCCAGTGTCCGAACTCGGGCCGCCTTCGATCGATTGAGTGGGAAACGATCTTGTGCTCGGTGTCGACGAGATAACCCACGATCGCGCTTGAGATATAGCCAGTCTCCCCTGGGACTTAACGATCGCGGGTGGTGCTCCTTAAAGCGCTGAGACAAATGCCTTATCGTACGACCTATGTAACATGCGCCACAGAAGCACTAAAAATAGTAAATTATCATGGTATGATCAATTTCGGCAGTTTGTCTTTCACTGGTCTAAGTTTGGCCGCTGGGAAAGTGGAATTCACAGCCGCTCTCAGTGATTGAACTAGGCTCTCTTTTAGGCCTGAATTTCTCGTGATCTTTCGTTTCGGTGCAAAATTCTATTATTTTTGACAGAAAAAAAGATAATCTAACGAAAATTTGTATCTATGTTTTTTCTTCGATGACTGTCAAGAATTGCAAAAGTTGTGATGATCGAGCATATGTATGGGAGAGGAGTATTCTTTTTGTTTGTGTGTACCGACGGCCGGTCAGATCACTGGCTTTCCATTTATTTGGTTCAACAGAGCGATGGTTTTTCACAAGGGCGAACTTTAGACACGCTCACACAATCCGGTCACAGGTTGTGGATTGGAAATTGGCATAGACGGGTACAATATAAGAAATATTTCTCGGAGGGTTGGTGGAAACAACAAGTGAGTTTTCAGGATCGTATACACCGATACAATTAGTTGTAAAGAATGCATACAAGCCCGTTAGATTCCGATTTTTGATTTCACTAATCAATCATCCCTTTTTGATTGAAATACCGCAACTGGAGAATACAAAGGCGTACGGGAATTTTTCTATCATCCCAAACCATCAGTTGCTTTTCTAATAAACACACTAAAAAAAGTGTCTGCATTAGGTCGAATAAGCGTCGCGCTACATGTAAAACGCACCACTCAAAATGTAAGGTAACTAAAATCAGGCAATAGAATTTGCCAACCGCGACACTCAACGGGTGGAGCGAGCACATCGCAGATTGCAAGATGATACATATATTTCATTGAAAAAAAAGTAGAATCAAGCAAACACGTGAGACTAGAAATCTGATGGGTGCAATAATCGTCGAGAACTAATGCTGCACCGGTTGACTCACCTGTGATTTCGTTTCGGAATTTGTCGGACATGATACGGTTTTAAAGTCTTCGTTTCGGTCACGACTCTGATTCGGTACATGGCAGCACACGAAGGTATTGGGATGAGAGGAAACGGGGAAGAAATGGAATGGGTGATTAGGGACACACATACGGGCACGCGCGCGCGCGTGAGAGAGAGAAAGATGGTGCGATAAGAACAATCTTTGTACACAAAATGTGTTCACTGATGCAGAACAAAAACGGTACACTTTTGATGCTTTCCCTATGACGTGTCCTTTGAGCAGCCTGGTTGAGCAGTAGAAGCGAAGATCGGTATCATGTATCTCGTTCGAAAGCTTTTCAGAATGGCTAGTCTGTTCCTCATACAATAGTATAACATGAGATAAATATTCCGTAGACACTGAGGATTTGCAATGGGAATGGAAAAAGATGAGTTTAATTTGAAGAAGTGCGATGAAGTAACAACAATCAATGGTTTATCGGGGTGCGCAAACGGGCACACACACACAATGAGGGTAAAAACTTTATCACCTGTGATTTTTTTCGAGTGAAAAAGTCCGAAGGGAGGAGGCTATCGGGAAAGAGAAAGCGCCAATCGAAAAATACGAGGAAGATGATTCTGAGATTTGCCAGGGCTAAAAAGAACAAAATTTAGGAGACCCAGCGGTAGAAATGGATGATTAGTGATCAATGAAAGACTGTTTGAGTTTAAACGGTGGAACCATGTGGCCGTGAGTCCATGCTTAGGATGCCAACTGCCTTACCCCTAAAATCAAGTATGTCTCCCTATCCTGTCCCATCGGTGGAAAAACTACGGCTGCTAACGGAACATTTTGATGTGCAATCGAAAGCAATGTAACACAGTGCTTTTTTCTTATTCACGACCAGATAAAAAACCTCCAGCTTCGCTATTAGCCAACAAAAGTACCACAACTATGCGGTTTAGGATTTGCAGTACCCGTATCTAGCACCCCAGATTTCGTAGACCAAACAAGGGAGCTGTGTCTAGCCGGCATGTCAAGAGCTGGAAGAATGACTGCGAGAAGTGGTGGGAAGCAAAATGCACAGAGATGGAGAAAACTGTGGCTATTGGTAAAAGTAACAATGTTTTCCGCCAAATTAGGAATATAGGATGGTGGGTGTGAGGTGATGAAGGAGTCTGACGGAACACTGAATCATTTCCAGTAACACTGTCTTGTATGATGGGAAGGATGTTTCAAGAATCAGTTCATCTGGCAAACGTCGATACTACACCTCCCAATTCCTGCTTTAAATGGGAAATAATACTGCTGTCTACGATTAGTCTTTCATCTGAAATAGAGGTTCCCGGGAAGTAAATTCTCTAAAAAGATATAAGCCATCTAACCTAGAGGCGTTATCCACATCGGGATGGAGTGAGTTTTGGTTTTGGAGTTGACGAAACTCATGAGCTAAGCGAGAGGAGCCAGTGTCAAAAGAATGGGGTGAATCGGTTGTCTTAATGATATATAAAAAAGCTGACAACTTCTCTTATGAAAACCACATAGCAATCAGTTTAGTCAACATTACCTCCAAACTTCTTGTTGCCATCAAATTAAATCGATTGTCTGCCATACGTAAACAGTGCATATGTGAGAATCGGACTGGTTTTAGATCCGGACTAGATTGTATAAACTGTAATTTTCACTTTTGGCCAATTCCAGAATACACACCCCTTTCGGTGGAGCCACTGCGTGTGTGTCTTCCTCGACTTCGTATCGGATTTTGACGCAAACGACCGCTCTATACTCTGGCACTGCCTTTCTCTCTGAAGGATGTGCCCGAGAAGTTTATTTCAATATTACGATCCCTCTATACTAAAAAAAACAAATCGAATTTCGAGCTTACGGCAATTTTCTCTCAAGTTCATCATATGAGAACAGCGACATCGTTTTGCTCCCCGGTTGGCAGACTGTTTGATCTAAAGTATACAGACGATAAGGTACTACGAAGTGAGGATCCAGGTAGATTGTAAGCTCTGCTCGATAGTTTCAGTGGTAGCGTTGTTATGTTCAGTATGTGCTTTACATCTTTAAAGTGCAACAAGTAGTTACCGGACTAGGTCAGTCCAGTTTCCAACATCACTCTCACTGGAGACGCAATAGAGCAGGTACACAAATTTTACTACCTGAGTAGCTACATCTTACAAGGCGGACGCACCACAGATGAAGTGTCGGCACGGAGACAGAAATCATGATCGAAATGAAATTTGCCAACTTCAGACATTTGTGGCACTGTCGTGATATTCAATTGTCTGCCGTAGCGATGCTGTAACATGGTGCAAAAACTTGACCACTATGAAAACCAGGAAAAGACAAACCGTCGGTGTTCGAACACACGGCTGTCTACATCAAATGCAACACGAATTTGGTGGGGGCAACCGGAAGACTGAGGTTAAACACAGAGTTTTGCACAAACCACGGTCATCTACTGCAATTGGTAGTAGTATGATCAGGAAACTTGCTCACACAGACCGCGTTAAACTCCCTGGATCCGGCATTATCATAACCGGAGGTAAGAGACACTGAATAGTTATGGTTAAGTGTCGTGAATAGTGATGCTCATGCAACTCAATTTCTTCGTGTCCTTAGTTTACCGGAATTCTTCATTTTTTTTTGGGCGGTGCTTCCAAATTTTCAGTCTTTATTCTATCCTCGCATGTAAGGGGGCAGCAAAAGGCAGTAAACAAAGTTGTTGCACGATAACGCTTTGTTAACGGCTGTACAAAATAAAAGGGAACCGAATATACAGTGCGCACCTCCCATCTGATTGGTTATCGCGCTTCGTTAGGTAGAAAGTCCAAAACGTGCGTGAATTCACTACTGTTTGACCAGTATCGAGCTTTTAGGAAAACCAACCGATGCAGCACGAAAATGACCTATTTTGGGGATTACTAATCCACCACATGTCTGTCCCACAATCACGTGGTTTGCACCCAGAGCCGACAATCAAAGTAGTGTCTAACCTTGACGGACGATTTAGCCGTAGTTCGATACATGTAANTGTAACACGTGACACTGGTGCAAGGCCCAACCCCGGATACGAGGACAATTCACGCTAAGACTATAGTGGAAACACAAAGAGGCCCAGACAAACAATTTATTTAATCGAAAGGAAACGCTAAACGAGCGTCAAATGTAGTGAAACGTAATGTAGTGAACGCCTAGCAAAACAGAAAACAAGAGACTGGATGAACTGATTGTACACCATTTACAGCTCATAGGAATACCGACACATCTATAATGAATGTGAAATACAAAAAATAGCTTGGGCGGTTAAAGGGGATAAGCCGAACATATGGCATAGACCAATCAGAGAGAAAAGTTACACTCCCAGCATGTTACAAATCCTATCACACAAACAAGACAGAGGTTAAAGTCTTCCGCTACCTGATGTGTCTGGACAGATGAGTGTTGGGAGATACTACTCACATTTATGAGTACTACGGAAAATAGGGCGATTGGCGGTTTCTTTGGACGGCCTAATGCAATGCCTCAAATAATAACTACGGTCTGTTTCATTCATTACCCTGTGGTTCTGGGATTTGTGATGAGATGTTTAAAATGAGATATCTACCTATTTGTATACCGAAATATCGATAGCCTACCTGTGATCCGCAATAAACAACTTTCCTCCTCTTGTGGAATTATAAGAATGAGAATTGGAAATTTCCCTAGTACTCAAATGAGAACAGCGCACGGATAACTTCACTTGTTTGATCAACCACAATAGGCCAGGTCATAAATCGAAATTCACCTAATATCCCGTGCAGCTGACGGGACTAACACCCGAGATAATGTTGCAAGCAACCCGAAAGGAAGAAGGCGACAACCACAGTGAGATAGATGGGATAAACTATCTACCCCATGTAGTCAGGAAAAATTGCTGTTCAGTGCTGAAAACCCGGTAATCTGAGCCACGGAACTCTGGAGTGACGAACCATATAGGGCCTGGCTAGGTTAGGCGTGGTATGGAACCGGACGACGATTAGTAGCTAGCTTGGATGCTGATTTGATCATAATCAATCTGATAGATATTGCGGAAGACAACACGACTAAAAATCAGGGGAAAAAAAAGAATAATGAGCACATATCAGTGCGATTGGTTGGTTGGGGATGACAATTCTCAACCAGTTGCCCTAGTCGAAGTGGCAGCGATTCGCTGATCTGGCTGACCCCGCATTGTGACTTTTGGGTGCCTCTGTTTGGCGGGGAAAAACCACCGCCACATGAAGACAGTGAGGAGAGCTTTCGCAGCAGAGGCTAAACGAGACGCTTGGTTTCCGCAGGAGTATGGGCGCGAGCTACTAGGGCAATTTGATCAAACAAAAGTGAAAAGGTCACACCTGTTTCGAGTCAGCGAGTCAAAGCAGAAAATAGGGAAACGGGAAGTACCTTGTTATGTAACCTGAACGTGCTGTTTGTGAGCCACTTCCCCCCCCCGCCGCCCGTCCGCTGCCGCCGCCAAGTGAACGCCGTCGTGTTCTAATCAGATTTGGAGTGATACTATTTCGTTAGTTCAGTTCAGTCTGCAAAACTACTAACAATTCGATGAGCGGATTTTGGTTCCTTTCCTTCGGTCGACCAGTTGGTGGACGAAGAACTAAGCAGTAAACAAGGCGAAATTGTTCTCGAAAGTGCAGAAATGATCTGGCCCTTTATGCAATAATCACAGGATGTTCACGTCGAGAGAATGCATTCACTAAGGAGAGGAGGTAAACACGGAACGTGAGTGGGGCTATTCACAAACGATCAAGAACGTGAAGAGAATCGCAATTCCATCATGGTTTCATCTTGCGTGTATAGATAGCAAAATCCGCTTATTTTCCTTGCGACTGAGGACTAGACGCGCTTCACACCGCGTAGACGTTCTACGGTAGGGCTTGTCGATAATACCGTGGTATTCATGAGGATGCGTGTGCACTTGCGTGCGCAACAATGAAGCACGCAGGCACGCACACACAGGCGGGCAAGCAAGTGATGACAGGGCACTGCAAATCTGGCATACTGATTCATGATTAATGAACTGGTAAAGCGGATCACGCAAAAACGTGATCTTCAC